CAGAACCTGTAAATATGACCTTAATGAAATGGATCTTTGTTGTTGTAATGAAGTTAAGGATCTTGGTAATTCCAGGTATCTGTGTAAGAACAGAATGCACAATGCTGCTATAAACATTGGGGTACTGGGTGTGGTGCAAAAACAATGAATACTGTTACGTTGAAAAGAAATTAAAAAAAAAAAAAGAACAGAACGTACAGACAGAAGAGGAGACACAGAGGGGAAGTCCATGGAAGACAAAGAGAAAAAGGTAATGTAAAGGCAGAGTCCGAGATTATAGGGGTGCATCTACAAGCCAAAGAATGCAAAAGATTGCTGTCCATTCCCAGAAGCAAAGAGGCATTCCAGGCACACAGATGCCCTCCAAAAGACTTGAAGTGAATACACTAATTTATTAATTTGTTCAATAGGCCCTCATTTATTTAACTGTAAAGTCAGAGCATTAAATTTGTGACAGTTTCTGTCTTAAAAGTTCTAGGATTCTGGGAATATGGCTTCTCCAGGAAGAATAAAATGGTTAAACAGAAATACACAGAAATTTAAGAGAATGGAAAATGAAGGGCGCCTGGGTGGAACAGTCAGTTAGGTGTCTGGTTCTAGGTTTTTTTGGCTTGGGTCATGATCTCAGTGTCTTGGGATCGAGCCCCAAGTCAGGCCCCATGCTTAGCGTGGGGTCTACTTGAGATTCTTTCTCTCCCTCTCCTTCTAGTCCTCCCCCCTGTGCTCTCTCTCTCTCTCTAAAATAAATAAATAGATCTTTAAAAAAGATAATGGGAAATGATTAGAGAGAAATGCTTTGAGGACATGCTTGCTTTTGATCTATACCCTTCCTTTCTAGGGAGTAAAGCAATAAACCTCATTAACTCTACTCTAAATCAAATCTGCACTTGAGATGGAATACCCACAACACTTTTAGTCACTATCCAAGGACCCATTGCCATGTGTTTAAGGGAGAGATGAAGATTCAGCTGTTCAACCTTCCCCACTATCACTTTGTTTTCTTTCTGTCTCTCTGTCTTGGCTTCACTACTTCTGAATGCTTATGCGTGTGATGGGTGGAGATGGAAAGGGAACATTGCTCTGCTAACCGGGAATCTGGATTAGCTCCTGGTTTCATCGGGCACAAATGGAAATGTGTGCGAAGTCATTACATCAAGTGGATTCCATACTAAGCAGCATGAACCTTAAGGAAGCAGAGAGATCCAGGGAGGAATGGCTACACCAGAATAGGAGATTTATAACAACATATCTGAAGGACTTAGTATAGAACTGGTTAATCAAATGGCAAGTGCAAATGGTAGCAGTAAATACTCTTATTGCATTATCTTGCTTTCCAGGATGCCTTAATTTCAAGAAATGGCTTTGTGGGTGTGTTTAAAAAAAAAACTACTTAGAAGAAAGCCACTTCAAACTGTGTTTAGAAGCTAAATAAATACAATAGTCCCCAGAACAGAGATGCAGTGGGCATTTTAATACATAAATCAAAGGAAAATTAGGAGTCCTAATTGACTCATGGGGCTGACCACACATTTCTGTATAAGTGCTAATTTTAATAAACCATGGTCCCTGAATAACATTCCTAATCAGTCACTTAGCGAGTGGGTATTAGTGCAGAATGCAAATTATTTGAGTTTAACCTTCAACTGCTATACATGTTTCAGATGCATATTTACTTTAATTTTGTTTATAAGCGGGACAATCATGGTATGAAATGGATGGGGTTTTGGTCTGCTAAAGATGCCTTTCAGAAATATTTTGCCTAAAAATATTCTACTTATCAGAAGCCAAAACACTCCCACAAGGAAATGTCCTACATCTGAAGGAGAAAAGACCCTGCTCTTCAAATTTCTCTATTTGGTGATCTTCTCTTTAAATAAAATCACTAGTTTACAGTTGTGAAACTGTAAACTAGGTATGAAATTAGGTTCCTTCTATGTAACCTTCTTTAGGTTCTGCTAAAGAGAATTACAATAAAATATGGGGAAATGGATGCCCCATGAGTGTCTCCAGATGAAAGTAGGCCTGGAACATCAGCAGTTCCCACCTGCCATCTCCTACTCTAAAGGTCTCCCAAGAAAAGACCTGGGGACTATAAGTCATCTATAGCTCCTCCTTATTAAGGACTATGGATATGCCAAGAATGCCTCTGTTGTTTATAATGGACGGTATATGATAAGACTGTTATGGCAGATGACTAGCTTTTCTAGTCAGGATATATTTGGACTAAAAGTACTGAGTACTTCATATCATTAAGGTCAGGATTTAGGAAGTGCTTATAGTGATGATATGTGTAGCTGGAGCTAGAAAGTTGTCTGTGCTCAGGGGATCTCTAGGTCCTACTGATCTATCTGTCATGAATAGCTTCATCTTGCTCATGGGATCTCTTCATCTCCTCGCATTCTTTCTCTCCATTCTTCCCATCAATTTTACTTCCTCCTAACATCTGTCTGCTCGTGCCACAGGTATGCCCAGGAGTCACCATGGCTGTCTCAGACTCATTCTACTGAAACCTTGCTGCTTCGGGTTTCACAACTAATCACCCTTTTGTTTGTTTGGGTTTCCTAGTTCATATTACACAGAAAGGAAATTTGATTGGCCTAGCTTACTCTTTCTTTTTGTTTTTAAACCAAGCTTTATAAGGAAATTCACAACAAAATGTACTCATTTTAAGTATACAAGTCAATAATTTTTGGTAAATTTATAGAATTGTACAACCATCACTATAAGCCAGTTTTAGAACATTTTTAACACAAAAAACTCCAGTGGGACTTTCTGCAGTTAATCCCTGGTTCCACCTCCAGCTTTAGACAACTACTTATATGGTTTCTATCCCTATTAGAATGTCCCTTCAGGCTATTTCATTTAAACGGAATCATAAAATATGTGATGTTTTGTCAAAGTCTTCTTTCACTGAGCATAATGGTTTTGGGCTTCATAGTGTTATAACCTGGATCATTAATTTGTCCCTTTAAATTGTTGGATAGTAGTGCATTGTATGGGTAACCTATGTTTTAGAATATTCCAAAACCATTTCAGATGGAAAATCCAATGGAATATTCACCTCAACAGTTAATGGGCATTTGGATTGTTCTCAGTGTGACTCCAATGAATAATGTTACCGTGAATATCATTTCAAAAACACCTGTTTTGATTACTGTAGCTTTAAAGTAAGTTTTGAAGTTGGCTTATGCAAGTCTTCCAACTTTGTTTTCCCTTGACAAAACTGTCTGGACTATTTGAGGTTTTTTTCATTTCCATGTATTATTTAGGATCAGCTTATCAATTTCTAATGATTTGTTATGATTCTGTGATTCTGATAGGGATTCAATTTAATATATAAATCAATTATTTATCAACTTGGGGAGAATTGCCATCTTAAAATATTGAGTCTTTCAATCCATGAATATGTAGTGTCTCTCCATTTATTGAGATATTTAATGTCCCACAGAAATATTTCGTAGTTCTGTATGCAAATCCTATACTTTGACTATTAATATCTTCCTAAATATTTTATCCTTTCTGATACTTTTGTAGATATCACTATTCATTTAATTTTATTTTTGGATTGTCATTGTTAACATACAGAAATATGATTTACTTTTTAATATCATATAGCTTGTGATAGGAAATAGTCTATTAGTTCTACAGTTTTGCTGTTGATTTTTAAATTTCCTGCATAAAGATGTCGTCTGCTAAGAAAAACTATTCTGTTTTTTCATTTCTGCATGAATGAATCTATTTATGTATCTACTACCTCTCATCACCTTATTGTACTATCTAGAACCTTTGGTTATAATTTTGAATAGAAGTGGTGAGAATGGACATCTTTGCTGTGTTCAAGATCTTAAGAGGAGGAAAGCATGAAATATTTAACTATTAAGAATGATGCTTACCATACATTTTTCATAGATGTCCTTTTCAATTTGAGTAAGTTACATTTTATTTCTAGTTTATTGAGATTTCTAATTAAAAGTGGGTGTTAAATTTTGTCAAATGCTTTTTCTGCATCTACTGATTTTACAAATATAGTGCATTGCTGTCCTTGATTTTCGTTTATTAAAACAGTCATACATTTCTGGATAAATTTCACTTGTTTATTTTTCTGTCCCTTTTTTATATGTTGTCAAAGTTAGTTTGGTAAGGATAGTTGCATCAATGTTCATGAAGGATATTGGTTTATAGTTTTCTTTACTTGCTTTTTCTTTTCATTTTTTTCTAGCTTTCGTACCCGGATAATGTTGGTCTCAAATAATGACTTGTGTGGTTTTCCCTCCTCCTCTTTCTGAAAGGGTTTGAGAAGAACTGGTATCGTTTCTTTTGAAAATATGTAAAGAATATATAGAATTCATAATTGAAGCCATCCTGCTGGAAATTTTCTTCATGAGACCATTAAAAATTTCTAATGCAATGTAATACCTTTGATTATTTTTATATCTTTTTAGACTACCTATCTTCCTGAGTCAGTTTTAGCAATTTGTTTCTTTCTAAGAATTTTCCCACTTGGGGGTGCCTGGGTGGCTCAGTGGGTTAAAGTCTCTGCCTTCGGCTCAGGTCATGATCCCAGGGTCCTGGGATCAAGCCCCACATTGGGCTCTCTGCTCAGCTGGGAGCCTGCTTCCACCTCTCTCTCTGTCTGCCTCTCTGCCTACTTGTGATCTCTGTCAAATAAATAAATAAATCTTAAAAAAAAAAAAAAAAAGAATTTTGCCACTTCGTGAAAGTTTTCTAATTTGTTGCCAAGCTCACTTTTTGTGTCAGGTGATATCATAGATTACTGCTTGGCCCTGAATTGATCTTTCCTGGCACCCACCCATTTGTGGCTATGGAGGGATAAAGTTTCATGGTACAAAGCTAAGTTGCCAAAAGGTTGTCCTGTTTGACAGAGACTAGAGAAGACACATTGGGCATGGTTCTTTGGTAGCTATGGGCTGGAAAACATTCCCAGTTTAATGCTATCCACCACATAAGTTAAACATTTCAGCATAACTTTTTATACTTACTCTTGTGTTGGGAACTTTGTAATGTTGAAGAAACATTTGAAAGTGGAATCTTTGTCACTGTTGCATTTGTGACAGTTACCTCAATCTTCGTGATGACACTGTTTGTGGCTCCTAATTATGTAAAAACAAAAAGTAGCCATCAGGGGTGTAACCAATAAATAGATAGTCTTATTATCTTATTAGTATTAATATTAACATCCAATTATGACTTGAATATTAGTTACTGAAAGTTTTCTGATCAGTTTTAGAAATCCAACACTTTGATATTTACTTTTTAGTGATCCGGTTAATTTTGTTAAGAAAACAAGGCATATTTGACTCTTTTATATGTTTGCTATAGTTTATCTCATTTGAGCAGACAGTAATCCTATTAATTAAGTAATAATTGTGATCATAATTTTATATATAAGATTCAGAAAACTTAATCTCTCCATTGTCACATAACTTGTAATAGGAGAGAGCTAGGATCTGAATCCAAGCTTTTCTGATGCAAAAGTTAATCGACCACTCAGCTACCCTAGAAAGGGGGTGGTAAGGAAGTGGTAGTAGTTGAAGATGGTACCATGGTTCCCATGTTGTCTTGGAAGGAATTTTCAGGTAGGGGGAATAGACAGCAGAAAAGGGATAATAGGAATTCCTTAAAATAAACTTTTAATTATACTTAGTTCATTTTTTGGAGAGGAAAATTATCAACAAAAATAACCTGAGATTATCAAATAACACTGGAATAAGATTACTTGAAACAATTTATATTTGCACAAATATTATAAAAATGATTAATGTTTTTCACTCTTTTCAAAGTCTAATGTGGAGATCATTGGTTAGTGAAGAAAAGATAGGCATGCTGGGTACTGCATGCTTAATGTTAGCTACATATGATGCTGGCTGGAGATGGGAAGAAGCCAGTTTAATAGATTTCTGTCACACAGTAGGCAGAAAGACTGAATTGCTGGTGTTTTCCAGAAGTGCCAATCAGCTTCCATTCTATGACAACAAGCATCTATACTATAACACAAATTATTAGTGCAATTAAGAGATTGATGCCAGAGAAACTGAGAGTTTGCAAGAAGACCTCAGAGACAGTAGGTAAATATGTCTTTACACAACAAGTCTTCAGGAATTGATATGCCAGCAAAATATAAATATAAGCTCAAATATAAATATAAGCTCAAATATAAATATAAGCTCAAATATAGGCTATAGCATTAACACTGTATATGAGAAAGAAATAATTAAAATAAGCAAACTTTCAATGCATCTTTTAAAAAAGATTTTATTTATTTATTTCACAGAGAGAGAGATCACAAGTAGGCAGAGAGGCAGGCACAGAGAGAGGGGGAAACAAGCTCCCTGCTGAGCAGAGAACCCGATGCAGGATTAGATCCCAGGACCCTGAAATCATGACCTGAGCCGAAGATAGACACTTAACTGACTGAGCCACCCAAGCACCCCTGCATGCATCTTGAAGTAATAAATTGAGAGAGAAATATTTGAGAAAATAAAGAAATATCTTATCATAGCAGACATTGATGCTCGTGATAACGTGGAAGTACAAAAGATCACCCAAAAGGTAGAAACTCAACATTTGAGGATCAAGGGACATGTAGGGAAAAAGATTTTGCTTTTCAGTAGAACTCCAAGAACATACTCTTGGAAAACGTTAGAACAGGATTTCCTTTTTAGAATTTTTTGGTGGAGAATTCTTCTGCTGTGAAAACCATGGAAAATGTATCCTGATGGCCCAAAGGATTCCCTAGCATGAGACAGACTTAATGGTCTTGGACATGGAAAAGAGAATTTATATTTAAGAAAGATGTGGGAAACTGGCAGATTAGAAAAATACAAAGAAGAGAGTGGAATAATGCAATAACTGGGGATACAATGCCAAAGAGTTCCCTTCAAGAATTTTCCATTATTGATGTGGAATATACTTCACAAATGAGGGTAAAATGAGAGCCCACAGTCAACTCAGGACAGGTTGTCAATTTCACAGTGTCCTGTAGGCAATGGAAGGGATCTTGAATACTTTATATTTTTAAATATACATGCATGGTGGACCTAAAACAAACAGAAGGAAAGATATAGAGACAAATGTTGCCACAGCCATAAATTTTGAAATTTTACTAGTATACTGAAGTGTTTCAAATCCTAGATTCAAGAGAGAAGAAAATGGGTGATGTACATTTATTAAGATATGAAGATCCTAATCTTGTATTAATGTTTTGTTTTAAAAATTTTCCCAATTGCACTTTGGGTTCACATTTAGTAGACTCTGGACTCCTTCCAGGAAGTGATTGACATCTCAGAAAGATAAAACCAATCTTAAAGTTGTTCTTTAAACTTAACGTGGTTTGCTCTCTTTCATTTTTTCTGTCTGGCCATTTCACCCCAGATAACACTACATATCTGCTTTGGTCTACAATTGCAAATTGAACTGTAAGCCTATAAATATAATATTATATTAGGTTTGACAAACATTATTTTATTTGAGAAATACTAATTTAAATTGTGACATCAAAGTAGTATTGACTTTACTTTTAGGACTTGTGTTTTTGAAGTTAATGTCCTTTAAGTTCTTGGAACTTAAGTTCTTCAATTGAAGACAAAATATAAGAATTTTAAAACCACATTTGACTTGGGATAAGAAGAGTCTAATAATGAGATGCTTGGAAAACCTCATCAATACCAGAGTGTGAGAGCAAAGAAGACAACTTCACTGCATCCATACCTTTAAGTGAAAACCATTGACTGGAACTGAGCAGAATGAATGTGAGAGATAAGGGCTGTCTTATAATTGCTTTGGAATTACTGATGTGAGATTCATTTTGTATATTTCATGAAATTAAATTTTTGGGAGAAAGCAATAAATGTGGTTATTATTTATATTAGGAACATAGATGTGTTTATAAGAGATTGACAATTGATTTGAAAGAGAGGGTTTATGGAGTTAAATTGTGCAAGGCATGGGATTAAGCAGTTTTATTCCTTTGGAATTATGTAATTTGAATTACAGTATTGTTTTATCTAACGCACATAAGCAAAAGCTGCTTGTGTGGTCACTTTGTCTTTGGAAATAGAATACGGGATAAGTGACTTTTTTACAAAGTTAGCATTTACTAAAGCATATGCTAAAAATACTATTACTGTGGTCTGTTAAATTGGTTTTATGTTTAAGGAAAGACATTTTGTAGTCAAATTAACTGGAGCTGCATAGACTGTAAAAAAGCTAAATGGATGTTTTTGTGATAGGATTATTAATATAAAAAGAAATGTTATTTTGCATTGTGGAACCCCAAGAGGGTAGTCTTTTTTTTTTTTTAAGATTTTATTTATTTGACAGACAGAGATCACAAGAGGCAGGCAGAGAGGGAGAGAGAAGGAGGCAGGCTCACCGCCAAGCAGAGAGCCCGACGCAGGGCTTGATCCCAGGACCCTGAGATCATGACCTGAGCCGAAGGCAGAGACTTTAAACCACTGAGCTACCCCGGTCCCCCGAGGGTAGTCTTTTTTAAAGCAATTGTCCAAGGACCTCCATTTCCAAGGATCATTTTATGGCTCCATAGAAATTTTGTATCTATGGCAACATGGATACAACTTAATTAATGTCTTGATTCATTTAAGTTACTTCTGGGGGTAATATTAAAGAGCCACTCATGGAAAGATTGTGAGAAGCCTAAGTACTTACTTATGCCAATGGGCTTACAGAGATGCATCAAAGCAGTGGCAAGAACTGAAAAAAAATCCTTCTAAAAATTTTGTTCAGATTTTCTGATCTTTTTAAAAATTTTGTTCAGATTTTCCAATCTTTTTTGGAGTGAAGAGTAATATATTGGAATGTTAATAAATTCAAATGTTAAGCACAGGAGCAAAAAAAGTGAAGGGGTGTAGGCCAATCACCTGAAAAACTCAAGGAGAATTCAGAGCTGTGGCTCCTCCAACTCAGTTAATGGAACAAGGCTACAATGGAGTTCCAGAGATCCTGAAGAAAACAAAATGGTGATGGTGGAGGACAGTCTAGGTGAAATAGGACTATAGGTCTCACTGGGAGATACAAAGAGAAGGAAGTTTTATTTCTATTTGAATTTTGTATTTCCTTTTCCTTTTCCATATCATTTAGATAGTGGGTTAAGGTAGAATGAAGGACCCCTTGAAATTGTGCATTTACCAATATTCTCCCTTTTGCTAGACTACTGGGACCTGGTTATAACCCCAGGGCAAAGGAGCCAGAGCAGACTACCAAGAGCTCCCTGACACTTTGGCCTTGGCTAACAGGGTGTCTAAATGTCTTCAGATCTATCCATTTTCTAACTTAGTTTATCAAGTCAAGTTCATATAGTAATTTGGGACTGATTCCAGGCCAGGTACAAAGTTTTACCTGTATTTACAGTGACTCTTTGCTTATATACCCCAGAAATCAAGTGGTTTGCAGTGGTTTGGTGACCTCAGAGGGATGTAGTGATTTGGGATTCTTTTTAAGTCCTTGTTCTTCCTTAGAGAGTTCATTAATAAGTAAATATTGACTTTTCACTTTTAAAAAAATCTATTTTAAGAGTGTTTTGGAGCCAGACCAAATACTGGTAGAGTTGTCTCCTTCATTTTCTTAGATCTACCAATCCTATTTGTCTACATGTTTTTACACATCAGTGAATAACTGGCCACAGTGCTTATGGGGATCTTAAAAGCTTTGGGAACATTTGAGCTGCCCCTTTTGAAAACTATAGATCATGACAACCGCCATGGGGTTACTCCCACGTCAGGTGGTGGGCAAAAAAGAATTGTTTATTTGTTTTCTGGTTGTAGAATGCACATTACTTTTTAAAATTTTACTGTAAATGGCATTTAAATAGCATAATAGTACCTTATTTAAGCAATTTTAAACTGCACTACTGAAGCCTTAAGGGCTCAAGTGTGGAAGCCTCAAAGACTATTGTTAGCGATAAGAGAGAGAAGCGGATAGAAGTCCACCCTGCCCACATGCACGCACCACCACCACATTGCTTCAAACAAGAAGTACTTACATATTCCATACATATATGTAATTTTATATGGAAATGTATTTTCCAATTAAAAGAATTCAGGTCACAATTGTCTTACTTTATAAGGAGGGTCAT